TGTTCCTCACTTCACCCAGGTGGGAATGGGGACCCGGCTATAGACCGCGAAAGACGTATCTGCACCACAAATAGGAAATTTCACTATGGCAAACAGACGTATCTGCACCACAAATAGGAAATTTCACTATGGCAAACAGACGTATCTGCACCACAAATAGGAGATTTCACTATGGCAAACAGACATAACTGAAGGGCCACGCCCATATTTCCAAAGGCGGCGCGACGTAACTCAAAATGATAAAAAGTGCAGATACGTCGCTCTGCCTTAGCATGGCAGTATGTAGTGGCGGTAGAGAGTAAAGGACGGTAGAGAGTACAGGAGACAATGTGGGACTCACTGTAGCGAGGGCAGATGGTCCACGTCTCCGTCTATCACGTCGGTAGACCTGCACACTTTCCTGGACTTGGACGGGACACGCGAAAACTTCTCCGGGTTATTTTTCCAGGCGTTGAGGATCTCGTACTGGCCAAGACGCCGCTCCTCGTCTGTCCGAAGGCTGCGGTTGATGGCCACTCCGGGCACCGCACGTACACCTTTGCCATGCTTCGTCACTCCCACCGCTGACATCTTCTCAAAGCTGGGAGACACGGCCAATGAGGCGGGGTTACTCAGCAAGCTTTGAGCTGCCGCGGATTCTGTGAGGCGGGCGTGGACCAGCGACGTTTGTTGCACAGCCACAACGCGAGGACTGTCGGCCAACGCCACACACGTCGACCTTGGGGGAATGGGCGCTGCTTGTGACACAGATTGTGGGAAAGATTGTAGAATGGTGACAGTCCCAGGCTTGGTGGAAACGGTGGCCAGTGGGGTGGACGCCTGGGACCGGAGGGCTGGCACAGAGGAGGAGTTTGGTAGTGAGTCAGCGAGGTGAGGGGGGGTGTGGGGGTGGAGGGACGTGGGAGTCTGGTTGACGCGCTGTGTGTGAGCGGCGGTGTTGGCCACCAGCAAGAGTTGTCTCCCCCCGTGCTGTATGGTGCCCAGCACGTTGTTCAACGCCTGTGTCGTGTGCCGACCCCTGGCCGCCCTGTGAGCCGCTGTCTGGCCGCTGCTGGCCCGGGGTGCCGCCGACGTGAGGCCGCTGTCCCCGCGAGGTGCCACGGGCGAGATGACCCGGCCCGTCAGAAGGGACACCTGTCTCCCCGGCACGACCTTGGCCCGCCCTGGTGCCGACAGCTGGGGGAGGCTGGAGGATGTCCCTGCCACTTTCTTGGAGGGAACAGTGTGTTGTGGA